AAGATGATGTTAAGCGAAATGAACCCCAAGATTGGGGTTTGATGTCGGTCTAATTTGGGGAGGGGAAGGGACAAAATGAAAAGTTTAAATAGGGATACAGTTTGGCCCATTGTAACAATGAGATTCACAAGACACTGAATTGAAAAACGAACTTTATACGTTATTGGGGGGTGGGACATAGTTGTGGATGTGGGAGGGAAGGGATGGTAGGGGAAAAACAAAGGAGGAGGCAATAATGCTTGATAGGAATTGTACTCATTACCTTGCTCATGTAACTGTAACCCCTTTGTACAGTATTTTTATAATAAAAAACGTACTTAAAGGGCTGAGAAGGTGGCTCAGTGGTAGAGCATTTGCCTTGCATGCATGAGGCCCTGGGTTCGATTCCTCAGCACCACATAAGCAAAAAGAAAAAAGCTGGAAGTGGCGCTGTGGCTCAAGTGGTAGAGCTCTAGCCTTGAGCTGAAGAGCTGAGGGATAGCACCCAGGCTCAGAGTTCATGCCCCACAACCGGACCAAAAAAAAAAAATTACTTAAAAAAGCACAATAATTTATGCTGTAGTTACTGTAATGTCTACATAGAAATCAAGTAGTGGTATCAAGTGACAGTTGAGGAATGATTGAAACTCTCTCATATTCTGTCCTTTAGTTTTTCTTGGTGCTTTGAAATGAACTCTCACTATTTAGCTTAGTCTGGACTCCAATACCATACAGTGTATGTAGGCTGGCCTCCAACTCAAGTTGTGTGAATTATTCAACATTGTGCTTTACTTGGAATTCCATCTTTGGTATGTAAATATTTTTTAAGAGCTATATACTACTTTTTTATTCCATATTGACTAGGCCATAGGTCTATAGAAAATGGTAACATAGAGATCTGTGTGGTTTCTGGCTGCGTCATAAGTACTCTGAAATGTGTGCAAAGCAGCTTTCAAAATTAAATACTTTAAAATGACTGTTATTATTGTTATTCCTTCATTTATTTTACTCTCAGTCTTTTAGACATGGTTTAAAATGGGTGGAAAAAAGAAGCTTCCACAGTGAACAACACTGAACATCACACAAGTTATGATCCTTTGCTATTGACATGGCTTTTAGTTTTCTTTTTCTTCTTTCTCTACTTTTTTCCTTTTTCTTTTTCATTTTGATGGGGCTTGAACTCAGGGCCTGGGCACTGTCATTGAACTCTTGTTCAAGGATCACACTCTACCACTTTGAGCCACAAAACCACTTCCAGTTTTCTGGAGGTTAATTTGGAGATTTGAAATATGATCCTCAGATCTCAGCCTTTTGAGCAGCTAGGATTATAGGCGTGAGTTCTAGGACCTGACAGCTTTTAGTTTTCTTTTAAAATTTTTTTATTTTATTGTAAAGATTCTGTACAGAGGGATTACAGTTACATGAGTAAGGTAATGAGTACATTTCCTATCCAACATTGTTACCCCCTCATTTTTTTTTCCTCCTATTATCCCAGCTAAGTTCAAGAAGAGAAAATGACCATTACATGTTTATGTTCCAACTACAGGGAATACAATTCCCCATTCAGCTTTGCATAATGCCTAAGATGAAATATTTCTATCAAATGAGACAATGATTTCCAGGAAGAAAAAATAGAGCTGTTAAGTCAAGGTCCCTGAGTCTCTGTTGAAACCTTTAAAAAATCCTTGCAATGGAAATGAAGATATTTTGTGGTAGTTTACACATCCAGAGAGAGAGAGACTTATCTTGAGCAGAATGGCTCATTACAGTGGATTTCCTTTAGTCTATCTCTTGTCCGACAGTGCCAGAATCATAAATAGAGAACATTTCCTTAGTGTATAGAGAAAAATCTATGCTAAATTCAAATTCCAGTTTTATTTAAAAATATATTTTAAGATCAGGAGAAGAAAACACTTCTACTTAGAAGATTTTTTTTTAAACAGGTGAGTGTTGATTTGTATTAAATTGTCTGAAGAATCTTGTTAAAATATAACATATGTCTAGTTTCACAAGTTTCTTTTTCCCAGGTAGACATTTTGAAGATGTGATTGATCTGAATACTCACAACTGAATCATTCTTAAGGACTCTCTAAGAATACTAACATAAGCTTTATTTTTTACAGCACCAATACTTGTTAAATAATAGAATATTTCATATAATTATGATTTCCAGTATTTGCCAGTCATGGAAGTTTTTATTTTCATTTCAATTTTTCAAAAAATATACTTAGTATATATCTCAATTTATATTTTGTGCATTTGAGATTCAGAGGTAAAGCAATTTATGACACAATTCCCAGGACTTCATACATGCTAGGAAAGTTCTCCGTCACTGGAACCATGTTCCAGTGCTTACATTAATTTTAGATTCAGGCAATTGAACAGGGGCTAGTTGAGTCACTGTGTTCAAATATCTTCTGTTGATGCTGACAACTGTTTGAACTACTCTGAAATTAAATATTTAAATTTAAAATATTTAAAAACATTTTGTAAGCACATATTAAGAATTATTCATTTAAATACAAATGGAGAAAAACAATAGAGATTATTATTAATTATTATTATTAATTATTCATTTAAATGTGAATAGAGAAAAACAATCCTATTGTTAAAATGGAATATACATAGACTAAATCATGGTTAATAGGCGTTTTAGTTTTTACATCTATTTGAAATTTTATACCCTACAAATATTTTACAATCAGATATGTTGTATTTCAATTTTACAAGTGCATAAGATTTTTCTATTAGGTGTGAAATTTGGAAATTTGAAATCATTTATGATAGAGACCTATTTATTTTCTAATACGTATCTATTTTGGTCAATAGTCTTAAATTACTTTATGTAAATAAAAATTTCTCATAGCTTTATTAAACAACGATGGTTTGTTAAAAATATTAAATAATACTAATAACACAAGCCCATGAGATGGTAAACAGTCACAGAATAAGATCTATTGCTAAGAACTTGGAAACAAAATTATTTAATAATTTAACAAAATTATTATAACCCATTTCACATTCTCAGCTCATCTATTATCCATTTATTATCTTCCTGATTCAAGTGATATCTTCAGGAGACTGAACAACTTGTTGTGTTTTTTGGCCTTTCTCAATTCTTTTATTCCTCCCTGAATAGATGGCTAATGATTGTTTGTTGATAGTTTTCTGTAAGTTCAAAGACTTTGACATATATAGTCTGTGAAGTATTAAATCATTCTGTGAATCATGCTATATTCAAATCTATACTAAGCACATTCTGACTTTGCTAATGTGTGTTAAGAGACAAAACTTACTAAAAATGAATCTGTTCTACTGGTTTAAACAATAGAAAAAATAAGCTGAGAGCTGGAGGCTCACATCTGCCATCTAGCTATTAAGCAGGTTGAGATCTGAGGATAGTGGTTCAAAGACAACCTGGTCAGAAAAGTCCATGAGACTCTCATCTCCACTAAACTACTCAGTATAAGCTGGAAGTGGCTCTGTGGCTCGAGTGGTAGAGGGTCTAGCCTTGAACCAAAAGAAGCTCAGGGACAACTCCCAGGCTCTGAGTTCAAGCACCAGGACTGGCAAAAAATCATGGGGGTAGGGGGAGAAAGAGAGAGAGAGAGAGAGAGAGAGAGAGAGAGAGACAGAGACAGAGACAGAGACAGAGACAGAGAGACAGAGACAGAGAGAGAGACAGAGAGAGACAGAGAGAGACAGAGAGACGGACAGAGAGACGGACAGACAGACAGAGAGACAGACAGAGAGACAGACAGAGAGACAGAGAGAGACAGAGAGAGAGCCAGAGAGCCAGAGAGACAGACAGAGAGACAGAGAGAGAGACAGAGAGAGACACACAGAGCGAGACAGAGAGACAGAGAGAGACAGAGACAGAGAGAGACAGAGAGACAGAGACAGAGAGAGAGACAGAGAGAGACAGAGAGACAGAGAGATGGACAGAGAGACAGAGAGAGAGACAGAGAGAGACAGAGAGAGAAATTAGCATATATCAAATTTGCTTTCTTGAACCAGAACCTTAATCTCTGTGATGTATTACTTGAAAAATAAGCTAATAGAGCTCACAAATGTATCCATGAAAAACACTGAGAAAACAGTGGGCATTTAGAAATTTATATTTTGTCATTCTTTAAACCATAAACATTAGTTCCAGAAATCTGTTCTTTACTTCTATCAAAATGATGAAATAGTACAAATCATCAGGTATTTAAAGTGCTAAGAGGAACTATATGTGCAAAGGTCTTGGGACCATGACATTCACAGAACACTTTAAAATATTTCTTGTTCATTACAAAGCAACAGTATTTATAATCAATGTTATGAATTATTTTAAAATATTTCCTGTACATTTTCATTACACGTCCATTGTGACTGACCTGTCATTCATGTTGATCCTTCACACTAACGATTATAAATTATCTAGTGACTAGATTCTTACTCTTGTTTCCATGGCTTAACATAAATTTGTTTCATCCAAGATAAAACCACTGTTGATTAGCATCCTGGTTTCTACCTTATTCAAATTCGTTGTTGCCCTTGTACTCATATTATCAACATTTCATAGTTTAAAAAGGCAACGTAGTTTACTTTTATGCTGATTTTTGTTTCTCATTTCCTAAGACTAAAAGGCAAAATTATTTCATTTTCCATTCATTTTTCATATATCTCACTTCTTTGTGCTTAGCTGTCATTGTATCTACAATCTACAAATTCCGTTTAGTCTCTAAGGTATGCTAGACTATTGATTATATTCAAATGGCCTCTGGCTTGTGTGTATTCAAATTTTTCTCATGTAAACATACTTTTCAAAACCTTTATCCAGGAAGAAAGTTGACTAAACTTCAAGACCCCATAGTACTTTTTATTCATCTAATGCTTCCCCAGAACATAAGAATTGAATAGAATCTAGAAATTGATTATTGGAGCAATAAGTAATAATAATTAACAATGATTATGAATAATAATTAATCATTTCAATGTGTTATTTTTCAGGCGATATTATTAGCTTTCACTTGCAGTAGATGGAGCACAGGAACAATGTGACCGAATTTATTCTCCTGGGGCTCACCGAGGACCCGATGCTGCAGAAAGTCATCTTTGTTCTCTTTGTGATAATTTACATCATCTCCATGACAGGAAATGCGCTCATCATGATCACCATCACTGGAAGCCCACTCTTGGGGTCCCCTATGTACTTTTTCCTAGACTATCTCTCCTTTATCGATGCCTGCTATTCATCTGTCAATACCCCTAAACTGATTGTAGATTCACTTCATGAAAAAAAGACCATTTTATTCAATGGGTGTATGACCCAAGTCTTTGGTGAACATTTCTTTGGAGGTGCCGAGGTCATCTTGCTGACTGTGATGGCTTATGACCGCTATGTAGCCATTTGCAAGCCTTTGCACTATGCAACCATCATGAATCGAAAAGTGTGTAGCCTACTAGTGGGTGTGTCCTGGGTGGGAGGTTTTCTTCATGGAAGCATACAGATATTTTTCATCATCCCATTACCTTTCTGTGGTCCTAATGTGATAGATCACTTTATGTGTGATCTGAATCCATTGCTTGCACTGGCCTGCACTGATACTCACACTTTAGGGCTCTTTGTTATTGCTAACAGTGGTTTCATTTGTATACTAAACTTCCTCCTTTTGCTGGCCTCCTATGTGGTCATCCTGCGCTCCCTGAAGAACCACAGCCTGGAGGCCAGGCGCAAAGCCCTCTCCACCTGTATCTCCCACATCACGGTGGTTGTCTTATTCTTTGTGCCCTGTATAGTGGTGTATCTGAGACCTGCCGTTACTTTACCCATTGATAAAGCAGTTGCTGTATTCTATACAATGTTAACTCCCATGTTAAATCCCTTAATCTATACCTTAAGAAATGATCAGATGAAGAATGCCATTAGAAAAAGGTTCAGTAGGGAAGTGTTTGCAGGGGTTAAATAAACTAGGCATTGAACCAACATAGATTCAGCAGAAACAGCAAAGTCAGTCAATTACTGGGTAACAATTTTTTTTCTTTCTTTGTTGCCCTTCCTTCCTTCCTTCCTTCCTTCCTTCCTTCCTTCCTTCCTTCCTTCCTTCCTTCCTTCCTTACTTCCTTCAGAAGACAGCAAGATCTCATGTTTCCATATCTTGGAGTTCACATATATATATATATATATATATATATATATACTTTTATATGAATATAAAGAGGCACATAGGCATTGGGCCTTTGTGATTCTCTCCTAAGAGTATCCTCTTTTGTCTCATTGTATGCATGTCAAATCCTGTATAATTTGTCACACCCCAGTGCATTTTAAATCTAACTTCTATATGTTAGAGAAAACATGTGACTTTTGTCTCTCTGAGCTTGCCTTACCTCACAATATGATTTGTTCTAGTTCTATACATTTCCCTGCAAATGACATTATTTTATTCTTTCTAATGGCTGTGTAAAATTCCATTGTGTAGGTACCACTCATCTATTGTGAGGTATCTGGGCTGCTTCCTGGGCTGTATCTTGGCTATTGTAAATAGCGCAGTCAATGAACATGGATGTGCAGGTGGCCTTATCATATCATGGATCATGATGCTCAGGGTAGGTGCCTAGGAGTGGTTGGGTCATAAGGAAGGTCTATATGTTTAGTTTTTTGAGGAACCTCCAAACTGCTGTCCAGAGTGGTTGTATTGGTTTATGTTCCCACCAGCAGTACAGTAGGATTAGTTTTTCACCACGTCCCTGCCAACATTTGTTGTTGTTTGAATTCAAAATGTTGGCCAATCTTTCTGGGGTGATATGGAATCTCAGAGTTGTTTTGATTTGCATTTCTTTTATGGCCAGAGATGATGAGTATTTCCTCATGTGTTTGGTTTTTTTTTTTTTTTTTTGCCATTCTTACCTCTTCTTCTGAGAAGTCTCTCCTTAGCTCCCTTGCCCATTTAGTAATTGGTTTATTAGGTTTGGGAAGGGTTAATTTCTTAGCTCCTTGTATATATTGGTTATTAGGCTTTTGTCTAATATACTGTTGGTAATGATCTTTCCCAGTTGGCTGTCTTTCTAGTTTAATAACTATGTCCTTAGCTGTGCAGAAACTTTTTATTTTGATGTAGTCTCACTTGTGAAGTCTCTCTCCTATCTGTTTGCCCCTGGGACTCTATTTAAGAAGTTTCTGCTTATAAGTTGTAGTGTTTCTCCCACTCTCTCCTGCAGTAGTTTCAAAGTTTCAGGTCTGACATTGAGGTCTTTGATTCACTTTGAAATAAATTCTTTAGGGGAAAAGAGTACTACGGACAAGTTCCCTAAATCTTTCTGGAAGGCTTTTAAATATTTTTATTGTCTAAGGCACAAATGTTACTTTGCACTATTTATCATATACAGGAAAGATCCATTGTGATTGGACTGACCATTTGGATGTTTTCCCTGCAAACTAGTTACTTCCTGCCTTGTAGGAAAAAAATCATAAGTCAAAGGTTAGTTCTCTTGAGTGAATCAAGATAAACTATTTTAAATTCAAACCTCAGTTTGTGTGGAAAAAATTTTTAGACTTGAGAAAAGAAGGAAAAGAGGTATACTGATGAAGATATAACCTTATCAGCTACTGATTTTGCATTGAATGATTTTAGGAGTACCTTTACATGTGCATTATCACTTACATATGGAAATCTATTTTTCCCATTCTGAGGATTGTATCGAAACAAATATGCATAGCCATCATTAAGATAATTTAAGATAACAAGGTAAGTACCATTTTAGTGCTAATGCTTATTAAGCATTGTTTTCATGCACAGTAACTATTACTATTCAATATTTGTCAGATATAATCTTAGAGCATTTCTTCCTCATCCCAATTTTTCAAGAAATAGTTGGTAAATATCTTAACCAAATGTATCATTGGACATTGTGGGACTCATAAAATTGATGCAATATTTAAGATCTAGCTCTAATGAGTATCTACTTAGAGATGATAATTTTAATATTTAAGACTTATCATGGGGATGAAACCCATGAAAATACATTTCAAATACACAAATGACCTAAAAGTTAACAGTAAATGACTCAAACCATCAGCTTTCTAGGATCAAGTATTACAGGTAACATAAGCCAACATTTTAAAAAAGATTTTTAAGAAGAAATATTGGGGAGGATTCTGAGTTTAGTGCATAGTTAAAGTTTTCTCTGTATGATTGCTCACACTTTATGTGCTGAGTGCTTGTACCAGTACAAAAGCAAATGAAAGCCTTCTATTGCTCACAGCACTGAAGTCCACCGTGCTGATGTGTTTATGTAACAATCGACTCCCAGGTCAATATATAAAGTGTTCTTACTTTATGAATCAATGACAAAGTACATGTAGGAAATATACTCCAACTAAGAGCAGTTTCAAGCTGAACACACAAGAATCAAATCTGATGTTTTGGATTCTCAAACCTCTACATCTAACTACAACAGTTTTCAGTAGATTCCAGGAGCTCAATAGTTTCTAATTGTATTAGAGAGAGATTGCTGAGTCTACTGGACAGAGAAAAGTAAATAAGTGCTTCCAAGAAGGCAGCAGTGGCATTTATTTTCTTGATGATTGGAATTTCAAATATCAACATGTCTGTATTGCTGGAAAATTTGGCTACAAAGTCCAATAAGGTAAATGAAATTATTATGGTCACTTAGAATTAGATTATCAGTTCAGTGTTGCTATACAGAGGATAACATGGGGTATGTAGCTTAAGGTAATGATTTGAAAGACAATATATATTCACATTTCCTCAGATAAAAGTAAGTTAATAAAGAAGAATAACCAGAGAATTATTGTTGGTGGTGCCATTTGTTTTCTGTTTGTCTAGACCAGGACTCTTAACTTCACTGTGCTTAAATTGCCCCTAAAATATGGAGGAAAACAGGTATAAAAAGGGTAATATTAACTATCTAATAGGTTCAAGAGGAGGGTTAAATCAATAAGAATTTCCCAAAGCATGGAGGACTGAGTAAATTCTGTGAACAGTATTTAATATTGCCATTGTTATTAAAAATCATAAACATTATAGCTCTATAGGTCATTTCTTTATTTGTCAAACATGACATGATATCTGTGACACAATTTATTTAACATAGTAAAATGAAACATTGTGCAAAGCACATGATAAGATACAACTTATAGCAAAACATCATGTGTTACTATTAGCTAAGGCAAATATCATTACTCCCTTTTCTGAAATCTTGTATAGTAATCTTGTATAATAAATAACTCTTGTATTCTTTCAATTCATTTACATAATTATCACCTTGTAAACTTAATTTGGCATATTATAAACCTTTAACAACTGAGGTTCCTGTCTTTGGCTTCCATTGCTTATTGAATACTAATTTGATTCTTCAAAGACCAATACTCCATTTATTATATTAGTATCTAAATTCACAATTATTTACTTTTCGTCAACTTACATTCTGAACTACTTTTTATTAGATCTCCATTTCAAAAGAATAAAGGTCACAATACATTAGTTTTACACTAATGGCCATGATATCCTCTTTCTACATCTTTTGTGGGCTTAGCCACCTTTCCATGTGCAATGTACCTGTTCTGTTCACACTCTGTGTCAAATCAGCCAATAAGAGCTGCAAATGTCCTGACCTGTGGGTTTATGAAGCTTCTTCATTTTTGTGGTCTTTGCTGAATCTATATGAGATCTTTGTAGAATCCTTATTTGGCAGCAGTATGTGAAGCCATTTCTTTTTTTTTATCATTTAGTTTCATGTTTATTTCTTCATGCACAAAGTGTGATACAAAGTCCATTTTTTCAATGTTTTAGTCTTCCAACAGGTAGAAATTATGTAAAATAATGTCAGCATCATTCATAGTTTCAAAAATATTTTAAAATAGATCAAGCTACAATAAGAGTTCTCTGCCCTTATTCCCTTAGATCTTGGATATACTTCTATAGTATTCTTCTGGGGGTGGGGCGGGGATCTCATTAGAGCTCTATTATAGACATGAATCTTTCTTTTTTTTGTGTTTTGTTTTTCAAAAAAAATCTTAAGTGGTTGTACCAAGGAGTTTCCATTAAAAATCAGTTTATACATACAATACATCTTGATAAATGTCACCCTTTTGAACATTCTCACATCTCTCCCTATCTTCCCTCCTACCCTCCCTTGCCCTCCATCTTCTGAATGGGCCATCCATTGAATTCTTGACGGTATTCTGCCCCTCTTCTCCTTTTCCCATCCTTTTCCCCCTTGACTCCACCCCACCCCTGTGGAGTACTAACTTCCTGGTATTTTATTTTGCTGAACTTTGACTCTGCCTTTCTAAGGAATTACACTATTGGAGTTCTCCTTGTATTGCCACTTGAAAAAATAAGCTTAGGGCTTATTGTACCACACTATCTTGAGAAGTTTTCCTAACTGGGTAAAATCTGTAATTTGCATTGGTGATTTGTTACAAATGGAAACTTAAAATAAATCTAGCTTTGTGTTAGTATTGTTTCAGGTAATGCAATTAACACAGGAGGCAATGGAGAACGGGAACAATGTGACAGAGTTTGTCCTCCTGGGGTTAACACAGAATCCAAAGATGCAGAAAATCATATTTGTCCTGTTTTTGGTCATCTACATCATCACTATGGTAGGAAATGGGCTCATTGTGGTCACCATCACGGGCAGCAAACTCTTGGGGTCCCCCATGTACTTTTTCTTAGACTATCTCTCCTTCATCGATGCCTGCTATTCCTCTGTCAATACTCCTAAGCTGATAGTGGACTCACTCAAGGAAAAGAAGACTATCCACTTCAGTGGATGCATGACTCAAGTCTTTGGGGAACATTTCTTTTCAGGCGCCGAGGTCATCTTGCTGACGGTGATGGCCTATGACCGCTATGTGGCCATCTGTAAACCTTTGCACTACGCAACCATCATGAACTGGCAGATTTGTCTTTTACTAGTGGGGGTTTCCTGGATGGGGGGCTTTCTCCATGCTACCATACAGCTCATCTTCATTATCCAGTTACCCTTCTGTGGCCCTAACGTCATCGACCACTTCATGTGTGATCTGAGCCCTTTGCTCAATCTTGTATGCATGGATACTCACATTCTGGGGTTCTTTGTTGCTGCCAACAGTGGCTTCATCTGTGTGTTGATCTTCCTCCTTCTGCTGGTCTCCTATGTGGTCATCCTACGCTCTCTGAGGAACCACAGCTCAGAGGCCAAGCGCAAAGCCCTCTCCACCTGTGGCTCCCACATCACGGTGGTTGTGCTATTTTTTTTGCCCTCCATATTTGTATACATGAGGCCAGCCGTGACTTTGTCCATTGATAAGGCAGTTGCTGTCTTCTATATGACAATTACTCCCATGTTAAATCCTTTAATCTACACTATGAGAAATGACCAGATGAAGACTGCCATTACAAAACTGTTTGCTAGGAAAGTTCTCTCAGTGGAAAACTAAATGTGTATCAAACCCACTTGGATTCATTTGAGAACAGGGCAGACATGCATCTTGTATAAGTTTAGAGATGAATAGTTACAAGAAGAAGCAACAGTGAATTCATTTACAGATTCTGAGTGAAGAAGCTCACAAATAGGTACAAACAAATAAGACTATGTAATCTCAATCATCTTTCAAAATGATGAAAGTAGTGGTTTTGGTTTGCTAACTTGATCCATGTATTTAGTTACATACTTGTTCTCCTTAATAAAAATCATTATAAAAATACTGATATCAAGCAGTAATTACTTTAACATTAAAAGAGGTGAGCCCTGCTAATATCCTCATTTGACTTGTGAGGACACTGAAATGAGATGTTCTCCAAACAGATACATTGATGAGCCATTAGCATAAATATGACTTTTTCCTGCAAATATCCTTAAGTGTTGTGATCTTAAAGATAAATGTTGATATGACGACTCAAGCCTGTAACCCTGGTATGTAGGAGCCGGAATCAGAAGGATCAATGTCAGAGGCTAAAAGACCTTTAGACCAGGACTAAAATTCAAGATTCTACCTTAAAAACAGACTAAAATACAAAGGGCTTTAGTGTGGTCTATGTGTTAGAGCTATTGTCTATACTGTCATGTTACCCAGGAAACCTATTCTCCACAAAAACTAAACAAAACAGGCAAATGAAAAATCTCCTATAGATGTTAGCTCATTATGCTATTTTTATTTTTGAGTCAAGGATTTTTGCTAAAATAGTGTATATACTGCATGAGTAGGCTTAAATCTAAAAATTTTTCCTTGCTTTATCCTACCATCTTATAAGTCATAATTCATGGTTATCCCTTTTCAGTAATATTATGGCATGTAAATGCTTTAAGACTACAAAGATGGGGTAATTTATCCTTGGAGCCATAGGTAACAAAGTTCCAATTTTCAACATCAGAAATAATCCTTATTTATAAGTCATCAGAAATAATCATGAACCAAATAAAAAACCTGTCAATTATCAGTAAGAAACTTTGAGCCTTGTAGCCTTGGTGACAGCAGTTTCTATAAGGCAGCCCAATGTCTGTCATCTATTACATGAATAAATATATAATTAGTGAAATGAACAGGCATTTTTAAAAAAATTATTTTATTGTAAAGATGCTGTACAGAGGGGTTACAGTTACATGAGTAAGGTAATGAGTACATTTCTTATCAAACATTGTTACTCCTCCTTTGTTTTTCTCCTACTATCCCTTTTCTCCCCCACCACCTGAAGATGTAAAGATCCTTTCCAACATAGTGTCTTGGGAGTATCATTGTTGCAATGGATCATCCTGTGTCCTTGTTTCAGCATTTTGTTATTACTCTTCCCCTCCCCAAATTAGATAAATATATATACAAGATGCAGGGTACCAAAATGAAATACAGGGATAACAAGGGATATACCATAGGGGAAAGAGCATACAAAAGAAACAAAAAAATTACAAGTACATTAAAAACAACAACAATAAAGAAAAATCTTTTGTGCCCATATCTTGGGGTTCACTTTTAAATAAATATATTTTCATGTTATTAGAGAGATGATGTACAGAATGATTACTGTTACATAAGTCAGGTAATAAATACATTTCTTTTGGGAGCATGTCACCACTTCCTTTGCTCTCTCCCAGTTTCACCCCACCCTGTCCCGATCCAGAACTTGTATAGTTCATTTTCCACATACTTCCACTGTCCCACCTTCTCTCTCTCTCTCTCTCTCTCTCTCTCTCTCTCTCTCTCTCTCTCTCTGTGTGTGTGTGTGTGTGCTCTGGTTTCTGAGGACTGAACTCAGGAGCTGGGCATTGTCCTTAAGCATTTTTTTGCTCAAGGCTAGTGCTCTACCACTTGAGCCACAGCTCCACTTCCAGCTTTTTGGTGTTTAATGAGACTCATGGCTTCTAATAGTGATCCTCAGATCTCAGCCTCTTGAGTAGCTAGGATTACAGGTATGAGCCATTAGTACCTGGCTTGCTTACATCCTTCACAGTTTTAACTATTCATATTTTCCCCATTAATCTGTGACCCACTGCATATTGCAATATTGCACCACTCTGTGGTGTGTGTCCATGTGTGTCTGTGTGTACATGCAAGTGTATTTTAGTATTTTATTTCTGTCACTATAAAATGATATGTCATACATTTTCAGCCAAAACCTAGAATTAGACATTTCTACAAGAACCACTGATGATTTTATTGAATAATGTTATTAGCAACAAAGGCCCAAGGGTTAGATATTTTTTATCCTCCCAAAGGAAATGTCATTTATTATTAATTAACACTTTTAATTGAAATAATAACCTATATCTTTCCCTTTACATCAGAGATAAATTGAGGATTAAGCTTTTTAACCACATCTGGATCATGTTTCTCAATTGAGAGGAAAGACACACTTCAGGGAATGCCTATCCCCAACTCCTGTATTTTACGTCATTTATATTACACACACCTCCAGGGAAGAATGAAAGGGGAGGAAAAGATCAGTCTAAAGCCGATGTGAGGATTTATTTCAGAAAACTTTGAATGGGTTTGAAATCAAACTAAAAAATATAAACTTCTTTGTGAGATCAGAGGAGATTCTAGAGTCAAAGACATTAACTTGGAAGCCCTTTGAAGATTCCCAGTTGAGTGAGCAGCCTCCGATTCTTTTCAGAGGGAAGGAAGTCAGCTGGCCATCTTACCCAAAGCTGGTAGGATTTGTGTTCATGTGTACTCATGCTGCTTTCTTGCAGAATGAAATTCAGATTAATTTTATAGACTGTTACAGACACATGAAGCACACATTGTCAGGTACTTGTGCAAGGACAGCATTTGAGGGAGTTTTCTGGGGATGTTTCACGTTCAAAAGTGAGAGGATGGAAAGAGAAGAGACAGGCGTTTCCGTTAGAAATGGGCTAGTAAGGCTTGATGATAGAAGGGTGTGAGGGATAATCAAGTAGAAATAATATCTGTTTGGGATATTCCATGGAAAGAGTCCATGCAAGTGACAATGTTCAACTAAATGTAGTCGGAGATAATATGTCTCTTGTTCCAATGGCAACAGAGCATAGAATAATAGATTAGCGTGGAACGTGATTAATTCGAATTCATAGGAAACCATTTACTTCTACGGTGCTGCTTATGTCTACAATTCTTACGAACTAAAAATTACCTATAGTATACAAAACATGACAGTATGTTTATTGCTACATCTGTACATCCAGAAAACTATGGATGTATAGATGGATTAGATGTATAGATAGATTGGGTTTATGTTACTTAATTCTCAGAGCTCAAATACTTCTTAAAAAATTTCGTTTCTAAAGAACATTTGCCAATAATACCTTTGGGAAACAATTACAAAAATAAATGTGGTTATTGTCAGTGTGGTCCTGTAGGTTATATTTAAATCTGACTCAGCATTTTTTGTACCATCTATTTCTTACGGCAAAAGAAGTTGTAATGGCTCAGTGATATGCAAATGTGGTTCATAATGTCTTAGGGTAAGGGTTCATAAAGCTTTATTTGTAATGTAGTATGACAACACATTTCATATATTACCATATCTTGTATTTGAAAGGGAATTTCCCATGTATAAGTCTAAGAATGCAGATTTCCTACTTAGAGACTGCAAATTATGTTTCTGTTCATAGTTTTCTTAGTAAACTTACAGTATTTGGCAAATCCAAATAAATATCAATTCACTTTTATATCTCCATTTTCTTAGATGAGTCAGGGTTTGAAATAGTCACAAAAGTGCACACTGCAAATTTTATTGTGTGTCAGTAAAATTTGAGTCTACCAAGGGCATTTTTAAAATTCTTGATAATTAGCTGTAAACCTAAACTTAGAGGAGTGTTTTGATTTATATCAGCTTTTCTTTGTTTGTCCTTCAGGTCAATCTCAGATTGTCCCTGGTCTTGTATAACAATTCTTTGAAGGGCTGCAGTGGCAGAGTGCTTGCCTAGAAAGCTCACCACCCATAGCTCAAACCCCAAAGACAAATTTAACAGAAATAAATTGAGATTAAACTATTTTTACTTTAGATTAGGCAGATTTGATTTGATTCCATTGCTAAAATTATATGCGCATTATGTCTGTCTCTTCTTTGTTTCTCTCTTTCAAAATACAAACTTCACTCTGTGTGTGTGTGTGTGTGTGTGTGTGTGTGTGTGTGTGTGTGTGTGTGTGTGTGTGTATTCCTACATGCCTTGAAATTTCATTAAGGACACCTGCAATGTTTAAAGAGCTATCACCAGAGTTTTAAAAAACATTTACTATATGTGTATATTTTAGTGAAACTACCAGGTTCAATGTGACGTAAAAGAAGCAAAAGTTTTCTGCGTGTTACCTGGATCTTAGTACATCTTCGCTTAACAGCTCATGATGGTCAAAATATTAACAGCTGATGCCAAATACTCTTGCTTAAGGCTTCATTACTTTGTTTCAACATTTTCTTTTTTATATATTTTTATTGTAAAGATACTGTATAGTGGGGTTACATTTCCTATAGAGCATTGTTACCTCCTTCTTTATTTTTCCCCTACTATCCCTTCCTCACTCCTCCCCAACTCCTCCCTCCCCACCCCCCTGAAGTTGTAAAGTTTGTTTTCAATATATATATGTATTTTCAATATATATATATATATATATATATATATATAATGGAATTCTAGGCTTCCATCAGAAAGAATGATACTGCCCCATTTGTTAGGAAATGGAAAGACTTGGAAAAATTATATTAAGTGAAGTAAGCCAGACGCAAAGAAATATAGGTCCCATGGTTTCCCTTATTTGCAATAACTAGGATATGTCTAGGATAATCTTACCAGACAAGCAGAGAAGGTCAAAAGCTATGTACATATGACCATATAAGATGATGCTTAGTGAAATGAACCCTAAGATAGGGACACAAGAGGTTTTTACTTTGTTGCTGTTGTATTTATGTATTATGTTTTTTGTGTTTCTTTTGAATGTTCTCACCCCCATGGTATAACCTCTGTTGT